GTATGTGTTTCCCCTCCTGGTTTATGTTAATGTCTGAAAGAGCTGTGCCTTGCCTTACAGTCTCTTGAGACTGACCGACCAAATCACCTTCTGAATGCATGGGTCTGTGAGGTGTTTGTATTCCCCCAGTGTTTTTGTAGGACTGGGATGCATAATCCCTGCCAACAAAGAGGATGCCCTAAAGGCTGGTTAGGCTTGGGCCTCCTCTGTGTAGGATAGGGACTTAATTCCTTCTTTGCTTCTGCACTTTGGAAGGAAGATGAAATCCTTTTTTCCCATTAGCATTAGTTCTCTCTTTCCTAACCTGTAATTGGAGGCTTATTCTCCCTTTGAAAGAGATCCCCTTGGGATTTGACGCTTCAGAAACCTGTTTATTGTAGGCATCCGTTGCAATTTGCTCTTCACAGCCGTCATTTCATTTCAAATAATGTACAGCAACCTCCTGCCAGGGTGTGAACAAATGGACCATTGTGATGTGCTTGCATGGAGCCAACCAGACCGTGCTGCTCCTCACACCTCGAGTGAAATGATGACATGGCTCAATGCCACCACCGGCACAGCCGGTGCCATGGGAGACCTGGTAGTGACGGGGACATATGGCTCTGCCAAGCCCTCAGAAATAAGGTCTTCTTTCCTCCTAAACAGGATCATTTCCCCATCATTTCATGTGTGTTCCTGCCCAAACCCATTTCCATTCCCTCCAGCCCTTTCAGCTTCATGTTCACTTTCTCTTGGACCTATCTGGAAAGCCCCTTTGTTTTCCTTTTTGCTATGTTGTCCGTGATGCTGTTGAATGTGGCTTGATAGGATATGTGTCTCTGAACCATGTGTACTGCAATTGCAGAGAAGATGGTAGTGAAGGATGCTAATTTACTCTCTTCAATGGTTGGAACCTTTATCTGACAACTAATGTCTTGCCTTGTCAGTGAGCTCTAGCATGTGTCTTTGTCTGGATTCAGAAAAGTAATTTATGGGCTCCAAATTACTTGCTTTTACCATCATTTTGCTCCATTTTGAAAGGATAATTCATCAGCAGACATGCTTGTCCTGTGTCTGCTGGTTATAAACCGTGAAATACCTTTTTCTCTATTAGTTTGGTCAGGCTTGCTTGCTTTTTGAATATCAGTCTTTTTTGGACTATTGGTTTGACACACAGCAGGGTGTACGTTGATGTCTTGGAGCTCCTGATGCTTGTGTCCTCTGTTCTGTATGTGGAGCATACTCAAGATACACCTGGTCTGCTTTTTAATTTCACAGGATACGCATTTTTCCCTTTACACACTAAAAAAGGGCTCACTGTGTCACTCAAATACTATTTTACAGACTTTGAGCATGTTTACCCTGGTATTTCAATGGGGATTTTCAGAGAAGCTGTCAAAAGTAACGGGTGATCCATCAATATAAAGAAACATTGGTATTTTATAGTCTGTTCTCAAGGTTCATGTTTGTATTTTTGTTTCTGGCTTCTGCTGGGCCTTTGTTTTATTGCAAGTTAAAGCATTACTAACAGCAAGAAGCGCTGTGTTCCCCCAAGAATAATAAACTGAGGTTAAATCATTCTGCTTTGCCTCGTGTCTACTGCCTCAGGTGTATCGTGGCAGTTAGTATAAACTGATGGTGGCCTTTCTGAACATCTCTATACTTTTATCCCGATGATCTGGCAACGCTTTGAATCCTTCCCTGTTGTCAGGGAGCCCAAAAGAGCCTGAAACCAAGAAGATCCAATGGAACAATGAAGATCCAATGGAACAATAAGTTGTATCTTCCCAACAGTTCCTCCCCAGCTTTTTTGCTCTGTAGATCTCCTCATCCATGCTGCTTGCTGATGTATCCCCATGTTGGTGTCCTCTTGAGCACTACTAGTTCTTTGCTTAGCTACTAAGCCTGAAGGTAACCCTGCCCCAAGGTTTTCGTGCTGCTTGCTTGCTCTGGGTAATTCATCCAAGATGCCTGATTCCTCACTGGGGCAAGCGTTCAAGTTCTCTGTCATATCACAGTCATGGCTCTGGTGTGGTATTTGGCTGTACAAAGCCATAAGTAACTGCCTCATTTGCAGAGATGAAATGATGGATAAATACCAGAAGCTTTAATGAGGATCTGTGCTTTGTGGTGGCCCTGTCAAGGAGCTGGACGAGGGGATTGAGTCTACCCTCAGAAGTCTGCAGATGACACCAAGCTGGGCAGGAGCATTGATCTGCTGGAGAGGAGGAGGTTCTACAGAGGGATCTGGACAGGTTGGATCAATGGGTGAATGCCAATTGCATGGGTTGTTTAGCCTGGAGAAAAGGAGGCTCAGGGGGGACCTTCTTGCTCTCTACAGCTGCCTGAAAGGAGGTTATAGGGAGGTGGGGTCGTTCTGTTCTCCCAAGTAACAAGCAATAGGACAAGAGGAAACAGACTCAACCTGCACCAGGGGAGGTTTAGGTTGGATATTAGGGACAAGTTATCCACTGAAAGGGTTGTCAAGTGCTGGAACAAGCTGCCCGGGGCAGTGGTGGAGCCACCATCCCTGAGGGTATTTAAAGGACATGTAGATGTGGCACTTAGGGACATGGATTAGTGGTGGGCTTGGCAGTGCTGGAGTAACAGTTGGGCTCGATGATTGTAAAGGTTTTTTTCAACCTGAACGATTCTGAAGAGCAGCAGAAAATCGTGAGGCTTCCTTGGAAACGAGTCCCAGGAGCGATGCAGCTGATGCCAGCAGCACCTGGATTTAAGCTATGTGTCAGATGGTCCCTGGGGTCTGCTGCTGCTGGGGAGCAGATGTTGGGAAGCAGGGAGAAGCAGTTGCATTTCTTCCAGACATGTGTCAACACATCCCACATTGTGTGTGGCTGGACAGGTTTCACATCTCCTACTGTGCAAGAGAATCATCTACTGAGGTTGGGACAGATGAGCTCTTGGCCATGGCCAGCACCTTTCATGGACTTTGATGGTCGCTTGCTGAATGTGGACCGGAGGGGATGGAGGAACATCCCTTCCTTTTCCAAGTCACAATTGGTTTTCTTTTGCTGGGATTGCGTCCCAGACATGCAGCCTTGGGCCCTGTCACTTTACATCTTGTTTGCTGGATAATCATGCCCTAACTGGAGGTTTTACACTTCAATTTTTACAGCTGCAAACGGCCATATAAAAAGCCCAGTAAAATTGCCTGCATGTATTTGGCTGAAGCCTGCACTGGCTACAGCAGCATCTAAATCCTTAATCAGCATTTACATTCCGTGGTTGCTCTCAAGATAAACTTGCTTGTTTTCCTATCATTCTCCCTAATGCAGGTTTTATTCTTGCTGTATTTTTAACTATCCTAATTAGAAACTGTTGACTTCTGCCTTCAAAGCTTATCTGGGCAAACCCATCTATAGGGCACTGGCTGCTGACACTGGCTTTCTGTTGTGCAGCTTATCTTTCCAGCTTGACTGGTTTAATAGGTCAAGTATTAAAATGAGATTTTCACTTGGATATAAATTATTTTTTAAAGGGTATATCCCCCCCCCCCCCAAAAAAAAAATGTTTTATGTTCTCTGCAGCCTTTTTTTTGCTCTGATTGAAGGTTTTAAACTTGGATGTGATTTCTGACTTCTCTGATCCCACCCGCTTCCCTCATGCCATAATTCTAAGGCATGTGTCAATATTTGAGGGGAATAAATTGCTGATGACTCCAGCTTCTGTTTAGTCTTATGAGTCATCATGGGGTCATATGAGCTCAGCAACTGTGTTAGTGACTTGTGATTCCTGGTGGGAGCACAGCCAGCAGCAGCATGTGCTGTTGGTGGTGGGATCCCTTCCCTCTCAATATTCATTTCTGATGTTTGCTGGTTGCTTCCTGATTGCAGAGCCCAGACTCTCTGGCTCTGGGCCATTTTGTCCTCTTTTAGTACAGTAGGAAGTTCTGCACATCTACATGTCCCCTGGTCTGTCAGTGCAAGCCATAGGAGGGACTTGTTGTGGTTTAGTCTTTGGTTTTCCATATGTTCCTCCACTCCGGGGGAAGGCTGAGCAAGAGCATCAGTGACCAAAATCATCCGTGCCACTGCCATCAGAGGTGTCACATCTCTGCTGCCCCACCAAGATTCACCCTCCTTGAAATCCATGTCCCCCTCATTGAAACCCATGTCCATCCCACTTGGAAACCTGTGGCATCCCTGCTTGACAGAGCTGGTGGTGGCCAGGGAGCCCCCAGCTGGGCTTTGCCCAGAGTTTCTTTCAAGAGAGGCCAAAATGGGACTAAAGAGGAGCAAAAGTGGTGGAGGAAATCTTTCCTCATTTGTCCAAGTGGTTTTAACTCTTTATTAGTTGCCAAGTAGTAGCAGGGTGAGAAGTTCATGAGAATTTGTGTTGGCATTGTGTTGGGAGAGCGCAGGCATCGTTCACATTGCTCCCTTTGGGTGGAAAGCAATGAGTGAGAGGGGCTTTGGACAAGGGCCTGTAGGGACAGGCCAAGGGGAATGGCTTGAACCTGCCAGAGGGGAGACTGAGATGAGCTCTTAGGCAGAAGCTCTTCCCTGTGAGGGTGCTGAGGCGCTGGCACAGGGTGCCCAGAGAAGCTGTGGCTGCCCCATCCCTGGCAGTGCTCAAGGCCAGGTTCGACACAGGGGCTTGGAGCAAGCTGCTCCAGTGGAAGGTGTTGGAGCTGGAGGAGCTTTAAGGTCCCTTCCAACCCAAACCAGGCTGGGATTCTATGATTCTATGAATTGCATTATATTTTAGTACAAGCTCCATCACAGCATGTACATGTGCTTCTTGGAGACTCAACATGATACGACTCTGGTGAGCTGCTGAAGACGTTTGTTCACTACTCTAAACCACCTTTCCTTTCTTCCATCTTTTCTCTCAGGGGAACACCGTATGCTAAATGATCAAACCAGGTTAGATTTACCTGCAGACGTTTCCCTTGGAGCTGTGGTGTGTGGCTGTTTCTCATTGCTCTGCCCTTGTTCATGTGGGAAAAGGAGTTGATTATATGGAACATATTACATTATTTCTCTTTTGTCTCCTCGCAGGTGTTTACAAAATATGGGAAATGCTACATGTTTAACTCAGGAGAAGAAGGACGGCCTCTTCTTACCACAGTTAAGGGTGGCACAGGCAATGGACTGGAAATCATGCTAGACATACAGCAGGATGAATATTTGCCCATATGGGGAGAAACAGGTAAGACCTTTTTCCTCCTGCAAACATGCATGTGTTGGTGATTTTGCTGAAAGACCATCCCATCCCATCCCATCCCATCGCATCCCATCCCATCCTTCCCAGCCAGTGTCTAAACCAGCTCTTGAAAGCAAGAGGAGCTCAGTCTGTACAGAAACCAGTTGCTTTGCGGTGTCTGTAGCTGCCACTTGGGACCAGCATTTCTATAGTTCAGCTCATCAGTGAGTGCTGGACTTGGGTGTCTCGGCATCAATGTTTGGGAGTGTCACCACCTCTCCTGGGACCAGGGTGGCTGCCTGTGTGTGACAAGAGGTGCAGTGTCTCTTTCAGATGCTCCAGCATCTTCCTCTTCCCTAGAAGGGGACTTTGGAGGCCTTGTTCAAGGTCAACCTGTTTGTGTGTTCCTCCTCCTTGGAATCTGGGGACATTTGTTGCCCTGACTGTTGTCTTAGTGTGGGTTGCTGCATGGGTGGACCAAGGACTTGGCTCATTGCACTTGGAGCATGTGGGATGGATGGCACCTTCCTTTAATGAACCCAACTAAGCTGAGCATCTTCTGAAGAGCCAGCGTGCTGCACTGCAGCCCTCTCTAGTTCTGGCACAGAGAAGGGCAGAAGGTGCTAATCGGAAAGGCTGGGGCTGTCTTGGAGGTCTCATCGGGTGGGATGGCAGCACTTGGAGTGAACATGGAAATGCTGCCTCCTGCAAGGGCAGCTCAGCAGCTCCTATCATCTGAACCCTGGATGATGGTGGAAGTTGCTGGCACTGCTGGTACCAGTTCCTTTAATGAATTCTGCTGACAAAACAGAGGCTGGGCTCTACAAAGGGGGTGGCATGGGCAAGGGACAGCATGGGGAGGGACAGGTACCACCAAAGCCACCCAGCGGTGGCTGCACTTTTCATGGAGCCTTGTTGGCATTTGAAGCAAAACATCCCAAAAAGAGTTGGAAAACTTGCCAGCAGCTCCATTCCTCTGGCAGTTGCAGGCAGAACATTGTGGTGGGAGGTTATTTGTTTATTATGGGGTGTCAGAATAGGGAGAGGAGCAATTACCCCTTAAGGTTTTATGTCACCGTTGCACCGTCATCGTGTGCAAACGAGTCTCTTCAAGCACCTTCTTCTCAACAGTGAAGAGGAGAGTTGGCTGCATTCATTCAGAACTTACAATGGTTTTGTGTGGTGGTTGATTCTGGCAATTTAAACAGATTCCCATGGTCCCATCAATCATTTCAAATTGCACAGGCTTTTATAGCAAGGGCTTTGCCTTCCAGTGCTTAGCTCGTACTCAGAATCAGCCTGATGTGTCCCAGGTGAGGAGGAGGAGAGAGTGATTTGGAATAATCATTTCTGACTCCTTGCATTTGTTTGAAGTCTTGTCCTTTTAAAGGCGAAGCAGGTTCTCAGTACGGAGTGGGAAGATAAAGTGCATTTTCTACCTCTGATGCTTTATTGCTTACAGGCTGTCTTGGGGGAGCTCATGGGGGCAGGAAATCCACCACATTGATGGCTTGAGGATGTAGCAGGCTTGGACAGCCACACTATGAGCTCTCTGTGTTCAACCTTGTCGGGTTTTGGACCACCCATAAGGTTCCCCATGGAGACACAGACCTTGTGGCACACTGTTCTCACTTCAGGCTTGCTTTTTGGAGCTCTCTTTTGTGGAATTCTTCACTGTGAGCATGGTGAAGGGCTGCCCCATCCCTGGCAGTGCTCAAGGCCAGGTTGGACTGGGCTTGGAGCAAGCTGCTCTAGTGGAAGGTGTCCCTGGATGAGCTTTAAGGTCCCTTCTGACACAAACCAGCCTATGATGATTCCGTGAATCTTTAGGAGGAACCCATCCAGGAATGTGCTGCCTTTAGAGCTGTGCTTTTCTATCACTGCTGTTCTGGGAAGGTCTCAGCTGGGTGAACCAGCTGCTCGTTTTACAGGAGGCAAAAAAGAAAAGGTATTAAGGAAGCAAATGGAGAACTAAAGTGCGAGGATAAAAGGTGAAGGAGGAGGATCCGCCAGGTCTTGTTGTTGCCATCTGGCGGGAGAGCCTGTGGCAATGGGGAGGAGGTTTCCGGTCTGGTACCTCTGCGTCTTTGAGCATCACTGTCATCCAGAGGTGAGGTGGGATGGCAGCTCCTGCTCTGGTCGCATTCATCAGACAGCTTTCAAGCCCTGCATGTGGCGAAGGAGCTTGAAACCTGGCCATGGCTGAGGACATGAAACCTGAGGAGGGACGAAACAACCCTCAGTGCGTTCATTTTTCCAAAGTCTTGTGCCTTTTAGGGTCTTTTAAGCTCCAACTTGATTTTTGACCACACGCGGAAGGGAGAAATGTACCTCTTTGATTTTCAAGATGCCCCTAATGGTGTCCTGCCCCCATATGGCCTCACCACTGCTAATCTCAGCTGTATTTAAATTAAATTTATACTCAGGTAAAGATTGAGGCATAGAGAGAGACTCTCATATTATGGGGCTAATTGTTAAGGTCTTTGTCTGACCGTGAAATGCTGTAGGATTCAAGGTGGAACTATGTAAATAGGACTCTTGATTTAGTTAAATGGTGTAGGACAAGCTCCTGGACTCGTTGCAAGCAAACTTGGCCATGTTCTTACAGGTCTAGGTAGGACTGGTCTTGATTGCGAAGTTCGTAAAACATTAATCTTTGCCTTTCAACAAGGGACTCATACAGCGCCTTGTACAAGCTGTCTTCAATCTTCATTGAGCTGTGTGGACAGTACCGGAATGAAAACATTAACTATAGTGGTTAATAGTTGCTGTTCCCATGGAAACACTTAACTCAGCTTTGTAGGTAAGTGAGGGAGTTGATTATTTCCAAATATTTGCATAAGAATGTAAATGTGTTTGGAATTAAATCCCCTCAGCTGCTTCCACTGGGACTGCGCTGGTTTGGCTCTCCAGTGAAAAGCTTTAGCAAGGACACACAGCTCTTAATAGTGAACTTCAGCCCTGGCTATGGAGAGGGATGAGGAGGGCATGGGGTGAGATCTTCACGGTGCCGTACACATGTAGGCATGGGGAGGTCAGCCATTGGGATGCCTCCAGGATGGAAGGAGTTGAGTTTTTTCTTCCCAGTGGGTTAGTATCTCCATTATAACCTGAACTGTTCCATTCACTCCTTATATTTAACTCCAGGTATTTCTACAGCCCAGTTTTGCTGCTCCTTTTTCGCCACTTGCTGTGCCCAGCACCTGCTCCTTTAGTGGCCTTTTAGGCAATGATTTTTATGTGGTCGAGTTACTTGACCTTATTTCCCTCAGTTTCCAACTTCCACAGCATCCCTCAGATGTGGATACTCAAAACCTACTCAAAACCCAAGCTTTTTGCAGCTGGCTGTCCCATGTTAGTCTAAGTTTTCCCAGAACTATCTGAAGCTGCCCCCACTGAGCTGCTGTCTCAGACATGGTGTTTGTACCCCCTTAGGGTTTCACAAATACTGACTCCATCACCAGAGGGTGGTCTTCACATGGAAAAATACACTTTCCTTTGGCCTATTATGGTGGCCTTGGCTCATGCTTCCTTCAAGGGTCTGTCCCATAGGAAACAGCCACCCAAAGAACAATCCAGGTTCTAGTTCACTGCCTCTTCACCCCAGCCATGGCCACAACATCTTCCTCCTGCACCCCAGGATGCTCAGGCCCTCAGAGCAGTTGTGGTTCTGTTGGATGCAGGGCTGATTCTTACCAATGCCAGGCCCAAATGGTGACATCCTGCTTGGTGCTTAGTCCCGCAGCTGCTTCTCTTTTTGCTCCAGATTTAGAGATGCCATAAACCCACGTTCTCCTTCAGAGCCCCAAAATCTCCTCACTTGCTGCCTCGGGATCTTGTCTTTCCTATAGAACTGTCCTTTGCAATTCAAATAAGAAGCTAAGAAGGAAAATATTGGTTCATAGCTTGGTATAGGGCTGCTCAGGAGCTGCTGCCACCATGTCACGTTGGCATATGCTTTGTAATTTAAAACTGATTTAATTGTTACTGGCTCAGCAAACAAAATGAAGTGCATTGTCAGTTTGAAAAGACCTTTTCTGAGTATCCATTAATATCTTGGGAAGATGAAATATCTTCTCTAACAAGTTACTTGTAATAGAAAAATATACCTCTAGCTTGACTGTCTGCATATGCAAGCCCATTATTTGAACATGTTAAATTTATGTGCAGTCTAATTTTGGAATAGCGAGTGTACACAGACTGCTTCAGTCTCTAATTTCAAGTGCAAAGAACAGGGTATTTTGACTGTATCTGGATGGCACGGCATCAGGCAGCTTTGCCATCGTTGGGGTGCAAAAATATTGTGTCAGGACTGTCAAAATCCTGGGAAAAATATGATGGTACAAAGAAAAAGAGATGGAAATCTTGTCTTTTGAGTTTTGCACTGCTGGGATTTATATTTTCTAGGGTTGTGCTTTAGCTGTGAGCGCACTACACGTGGAAGGAATTGAGGAAATAAGTTGTGGCTGAAGTCTTCGCATCACCTTTGGGTTTTAAAGAAAGCCTTAAATGTTCCAGCTGGGAATCATGATGCAGACAGCCCCCAAAACATAGCAATCCTGCAGGAAGTTCAATTGAAGATGGAAAAAAACTGGTAGCAGGGAAAACTCCTTCCAGGAACCAAGAGGGAAAAGGCAAACCACAGACTCAGAGCAGCGTAGGTGGGAGCCATACATATGGCTCGGAGTCTCCCAAATTCCACGGTTACACATCTTTGTCTCGCAGGATGAGGCCCTGGCGCATGGCAGGGCTGTGGAGGGGGTTTGTTTTATTGCACTTGATAGGGGAAGTGTCAGGAATGCCATCAAATAGAGAAAAGAAACTAATTTATAGTGGCAGCTATTTGATTGCAAGGGGAATCCACTTGGGGTTAATCTTTCTGGAGTGGTCCATGGTATTATATAGTGACCTCATACAGCAGCACAGTAAATTGAAAGTCACTCAGGCTACAGGGCTGTAAATAAGAAATAGTCAGGGCGTTCTGCATCTGTGTTTCAGGAATTGTT